AATATACATATGCGCACGTACTTACATCTAGTAACATAGGGATAAAATATCTAACCTAGTGATGTCTGAAATCAGACAAGTGGGCCTCCGATCTATACTAATATATTATTAATGTTCCAAAATAAATCCGGACGTTACACTATTTAAGAAGCGCTCCATTTGTGCACCGTGCCGTAATAGTGTAGTTGATACGAACAAATCTTCCAATACATCTCTCGAAAATGGCGGCTGTATTGGACGAAGTCGGCAAATCCGCCGAAAAATTGGTGGACGAGGAGAAGGACGAGCTCGCCGACGAGGAGGACGAGACCGGGGCGGCGGAGGCATCGAAAAAGAAGAAGAAGAAGAAAAAGAAGAAGAAGGCTGGTACGTTTGAATCGAGGTCGACGTGCCTTCGGGTTTCCCATGCTCGAACATTCGAGGACAACACAGCTCCACGTTTTGCGTTTCTTTAATTATGCTAAAAAATACAGTCTGCAGATAGCAGGAGAGTGACTTACTCGCGCTTAATGAGACCTCTTTCTTATCATATTTTGCTTAATCTAAAAAAAAAAAAGCGATGAGTCTTGCAGCTACTGTAGCAATGGTAAATCAGGCAACATATCCTGTCCTGAACATGTGTTAAGTAAATAGTAATATGTAAATTGAAAGTAATGAGAAAAACGTTTCATGTTTATAACATGTTACATACAGAGTCTCTTTTTGTGTTTCTAAGTCAAGGTTTGTCCAAAATTGTTTTTACATGAAATTCCTTAAAGGAGAACAAAAGGACCATAAATAAAAGAATATTATTATTCATATATATATATATATATATATAAAGTATAAGATGTTTGTAAATAGGTGCTGGAGAAGCCAGTGCAGATGTTCCAGAAGGAGAAGAAGATAAGGTCAAAGATGATGAAACAATTGCTGAAGGTATTATTGTTAGTCCTTTTGCATTTTTGCGAACATTGAAGCTAGAATTTAACAATTAAAATTTAACTCGCAATTTTCTCCTTTTGTTAGCCATAATTACATATACTTGAGGGTGTTGAAAATGTTTCCTCCAAAAGGATCTATCCGATTGGGCCACAAATCTGGTCACATGGGTGTTATACATCCTGTTTGAATCTATGATTGTTTTTACCAGTAAACTTGAGTCCTCTATCTCTCTGTTTACTAAGTTTCAGCCCAATTTGATAGTCCTGGATAGGACTATTGATATCTATTTACCAAATGATTGTAATCAATTTCAATTAAGTACACTAAAGGATATTCTCAACATCCGTTGGTGTATATAATTGAAATTGATTATAATCATTCGGTGAATTGTGATACCAATTGAGATTACTCAGTTGTTTTCATTTCAAGCTACTGCAGAGGTGGCCGAGAACGGTGAGAACGATGAAGTTAAGAAGAAGAAAAAGAAACGCAAATCCAGAGGCAAAGGCGGTATGAAGCAGCAAACGGATCCACCGACTGTTCCCGTATCAGAGTTGTTCCCGGATGGTAACTTCCCTGTAGGACAATTAATGGATTACCACCCGCCTGCCTATAGAGTAGATGACAGAACAGCAAAGAATCGTTTCACGAGCGAGGAAGCCCGCGCCCTCGACAGAATGCATAATGATATCTACAACGAGGCGAGGCAGGCAGCTGAAGCACATCGACAAACCAGGAAGCATATCAAGAATTGGGTGTGTAACACGTCGTTGTTGGAACAAACAGTCCTTAAGCATATATCGAACTGAATATTAGGGATTGAGGAGTGCAGATTAAAACTTTGAAACTTAGTCAAATAAAACAGCGAATCAGAATTGAAATTATTTGCGTTAAATTCTAACCTTTAATTTTTAATTCTAAATCGCGATTAAAAATCTGACAGGCTTTTAATAACCGATGATGGGCTTTTGTGTATCTTTTCAAAGAAGAATTACAATGTAATATAATATCAAATATTTTATTTTATTTTATACATACAATATTAATGTCTAATATATTTCAATATATCATAATATTAGGTTATAAAATTACATATATTAATTTTAACGTACATACACAATATTATATACAATATTTATATATTTTTAAATGAAAATATTAAATGTTAGGTTTTAAAAATCAGTAATACCATGCAAATGATTGGTATATTTCCGACGAAAATTTACAGGTTAAGCCGGGAATGACTATGATAGAGATATGCAACGAACTAGAGGAGACCGCCAGGAAACTGATAGGAGAAGATGGTCTGAAAGCTGGATTGGCGTTTCCGACCGGTTGCTCTCGAAATCACTGCGCAGCTCACTATACTCCGAACGCCGGCGACCCGACTGTCCTGGAGTATGACGATGTCACAAAAATCGACTTCGGTACACACATCAACGGTCGCATTATTGACTGTGCGTTCACTTTGACGTTTAATCCGAAGTACGACAAGCTGATCGAGGCGGTGCGCGACGCCACGAACACGGGCATCGAGGCTGCCGGAATCGACGTGCAACTGTGCGACGTCGGTGCCGCCATCCAAGAAGTCATGGAGTCTTACGAAGTCGAGTTGGACGGCAGAACGTATCCGGTATGAAAATATTAATTTTTTTTTGTAATAAAGGTGATATACATGCGATGTTTGTTATTATTGGTTAAATTGTCTTTATTATTAGTTTTATGCGGCAAATATATATAGAGGGCTCTAAAATTCCGAAAATTCGCAGGTGAAATCGATCAGAAATTTGAATGGCCACTCTATCGCGCCTTATCGCATACACGCCGGGAAAACTGTGCCGATTGTTAAGGGCGGCGAAGCGACCAGAATGGAGGAGAACGAGTTCTACGCAATTGAAACCTTCGGCTCCACTGGTAGAGGCGTGGTACACGACGATATGGAGTGTTCGCATTACATGAAGAGCTTCGACGCCGGTTTCGTGCCATTGAGATTGCAGAGCAGCAAGTCTCTTCTCAACACCATTAATAAACACTTCGGTGAGTGCTCCGGGAACTCGATCGGTACTCCGCGCGTTTTTACGTACCTCGTTGAAGAGAATGTAAATTAATTGATGCGATTGTATATAATTATTGAGGAATCAAAAGAGATCGACAATCGGGATACATCTGAACGGTGTGTATTCGTGGGCTTCAGGTACCTTGGCCTTCTGCAAACGTTGGCTGGATCGTGTTGGCTGCACCAAGTACCAAATGGCGTTGAAGGATTTATGTGAGAAGGGTGCTGTGGAAGCTTATCCTCCCCTGGTGGACGTCAAAGGCTGCTACACCGCTCAGTTCGAGCACACTCTCGTCCTGCGTCCCACGTGTAAAGAAGTCATCTCCCGCGGAGACGATTATTAAATGGCCGTTGTTTTCACACTGGGATCACCGTCGAGTGTCAGGCCGATAATATTTCTCATGCCGTTTTTCTCGATGTAACATCATTGTCGAAGCTAACATTAATACGCCGTCGTCTGTCGCTGTGATCAATGAGCGCAGTTGCGTGTCTGCGAGCACGTATTGCGACAGTGCGTGAATAATAACCATTCATGAATACTTTAGCGATGTCGTGTATTTCTATACGTGTACCAAACGCACCGTCTTTATAAGTTTTGCCTGTTTCGGCTCGCGTGTGAGCTCCGGAGACTTGGTCCGATGATGACGACGATGTCGCTTCAGATTCGGACACCGAGCCGTGCACTGGCTTGGCAACTCCGCGGCATTCCGCGTCGGCCCACGGAAAATTGACCAATCGGTCTTCGAAGCCGATGGTGTCCGCTGGTTCCGGTCTACGGTCTCTGCAGCGAGTTCTGAATGCGACTGATGGATCCAGCTTCTCACAAAGTAGAGCAGACTCTGATCGACTGCGCTTCTCTGTTGATTTGCGAAATCGAGAAATTTGCGCGGAGTCGAGTTCTGTTTAACTTCCGAGGAGTTTTTGATCATTTTTATTCGTTAACGGTGAGACGGGACACGTCCTTCTCGCGGGACACGTGGGATTTGTCGAGGGATACTACGTTTTCCGTGCACTTCTCTCTCGCTTCTTCTGTTCTCCACATTTTTTTTGTACGAGCACACGTAATTTAAGAGGGGGCAGTTCCGGCAGTTTGTATTTGTCGTTGCGTTCGTAAATGGCGTTTCTCGGTGCATTTTCTTACGGGGACAACTCTTACCGTAGACTAATACGCATAGACCGAGCACTTCCACGAGAGGTTGCACGCGATTATGTGATTAAAGAGATAATTACTTCTTACCGTGCGCGTGCCACAGGCAATTCGTCTTTGTCTAGCTTCACTCTTAAACCTCCAATTGTCTTTATATGCGACAAGGATAGCGGGTCCGCAGGCAGTAGAAGGGGAATATAGGTGTCAGGACCTTCAGTCTTGTCGTGCGAGCTCTCGTAGGAAGGCGCAGTCTATGTATATAAGTCTGTTTCTTAACGTTTAATAAGAATGACGGGGATAATATGACACAAATCGATGTTGAATAAAATATATTTGGAACTTGAGTTGTGTAATCATTGTGACGATCTTAGGGGTGATCCGAGTAATCGTGACTTCAAAATCTATGTCGAAATACAAATAAAAGAAAAGAGAAAACTATAGTCTAACATACACATGCGACAAACTGTACAAAAGAGAAGGAAGAAAAAAAAAAGAAAGTACCCTCCATTCTGTGGCTTCTCTGTCGGTGGAGATTGGATGTGCGGATGTCTTCTTACCGCGTAGCCGCGCGATTCGTATGTTGCAATAGGACTTTGTGAACTGGTTAAAAAATAAGGTCCCAACAAACCGAACACGGCTTGTGTTAATTTAAATTTAAGAGTGCGAAATCGAAAGTGTTTTGATTATGCACACACACACACATACACACATACATAGTCGGCGGATTAAAAGTTGCAACATCTTTTTTCATGAGTTTCGCTACGCATCCCGTATTCGATAGGAACATGTATCTCTTGAGAATTACTAAGAAACAAATTCTCCTATTGGACGCGAGAAAAAAAAATGTTGCAACCTTTAATCGGCCGGGTGTATGTGTGTGTGTATGTACGGTAAATTTTAAAACAGTTTGAACACTTTTATGCAATTTTAAATGCAACCTATAGTCCAATTAGAAACCTCCTTTTTGAAAAATAAGTTCTGTAATTGGACTATCGGTTGCGTAACCCAAATTGCGTAAGAAAAAAAACCGTTTTGAAACTTACCGTTCGTTGTCACTGAACGTAATAACCGTGATGTAACATCGACACACCACTTTAAGCCCGCGTCAGTCAGACCAAGACCCGAATTGATAGCAGTTACTTTAAGTATGTATTACGTGAAATACACAGATCCGAATTTCAATTTGAGTTCTTCAGCGGAATCACGTAAAATACGTGACATACTTGCGATACTCGCGATTTCATTGAGAAATTTACACTTAACTCTAAACTCAAATACGTAATATTTCATTTGGGACAAGTTTCAAGTAACAACTATTAATACGGATCTAAGTAGAAATCAGAGCTTGTATCGTCAATATTTGTCGCTTGAAACTTGTCTCATGCAAGATACTCAAGTTTTAATTCAGACTTAAATCTGAATTTTTTCCCAGTTCAATCGCTATTACAGATAAAAAGTCAGATAATGTGTCATATATATGTAATTCAACTGACACAACTCACAGAGATTAAGTCTGAAATGAAAATTCAAGGCAAGTTTCAAGTGATACGGGCCTGGGTGTCACGAATTAGAAATTGGAATTCTAACTCCGATCTTGGCTCTCTCCTCGGCTGTGTGCAGTGGACGAAGCGATCAAGTGGCCGACTTTCGGAAGATTGATGTGATCGGTAGATCTAAAAGTATAATGTACATACGTAGATAATCTTGACTCAACGGTTGTACAACCGTTGTGTTCGCGCAACCTTTGTCAAGCTTGACTCGCTCGGTCGATCTTCAATCCGCAAGTCTCAATCTCCGGCGCCCAGTCTGACACACGGAGAGTGTCAGACCAAGTCGAAGCACGTCTCTCACAATAGCTGTCATCGTGCGAGCATCTCGAAGTTTCTCGTGTAACGCCGTGTAACGGAGTATGTACGAACGAACACATGGTCCCGGAATGCCGATTTATCTCTGTCTTTTGTCATCTAGCGAGAACTATGTTTGCTTCCGGCGGCGTCGTTTCTCTCTCTCTCTCTCTTTCTCTCTATGTATATATATATATATATATAACTATAATAATCTGTAATTTCTCGGCCAATTCGCGTCGTATGCGTATAGCTCTTCGGCCGGGAACGGCTCCCGGGTCGAAATAAATAGCGTTCCAAGGCTCCCGATCCGTCGATCGCGGCCGCATTTTGCGGCCCAACGATGACGTCGTCAAACTACCGCGACGAATCACGAGCTTCCAACCCTTAACCCGAAACATCAGCGTCACCGACATGTGATATTCGCAGCTCGAAGTTCACGCACCGCTTAAAAGCGCTTAACATCCGCTCTGTCCACACCTACGAATTTAACTAACGAGATCGTCGTCGTCATGTTGTATATATTTTAGAAAATAACTCACACGCTTATACGTTACAAGTTCTCACGAACACCACACCACCGGAGTTTCCCTGACCGAGTGGCTATTTTATACATGTTTCGATTTAAGGGTTAACGACAAGCAATCGCACGTACCTACGCGGAATCGTTCTACATATCGTTCAGCGGGGCCGCCGACCGCGTTTCGTTCACCCGTGTCGAGGAGAGAAGAGAGCGAACGTAACGCCACCCCCGTCGGTCGTTCGCACGAGGCTTCGTCGTAGGACATCGTCCGCACGGATCCCGGTCCGATGATGACGATGATGGAAGACACCGGTTGTGTGTGACTTCCGAAAGGGAAAGGAAGAGAAAGCGAGCGATTCGTCGTCGCGAAGAATTCGCCTAGGCACGTACGAGCTTGTCCGGAAGCGCGCGCGGACGCACAAATCGCGAAACGGATGTTGCGCCGCGCCGTGCTCTACTCCCCCCCGTCGTGTTCTGCGCGAGACGGGGCCTCTAAAATCGATCCTCTGAAGCTCCGTGTACTAGCCTGAGTATCGGAGATCGACGATTGCGAATTACAGATCGGAAATTCGACGGATCCTCTCCGATCCCGATCTCGCTTTTATCTCGGCATTCAATTCGCACAATCCTCGATCTCCGACATCCAGAGCTTGGTACAAGCTCAAAGCTCACGTCAGACTAGGTATCGGAGACTGGACGTCGCGGAGATTAGAGATTAGAATTCGATGAATTAACTATTAATCGATCTTGGCTCGCCTTAACTCGCTTGAGCTCAAGTTCCAGTCTTCGACTCACAGCCCTCGACTTCGGATACCTACCTCTGATAGACAGGCCTGGAGCTCATATCAGACTTGGTAGATATTGGAGACACCGGGCATTGTGGATTAGGAATGAGAGAATTCGATGAATTGACCGACTCCGATCGAGACTCAGCTCGGTCTCTCGATTGCTCCCGCAATCGTCAGTCCGCGATCCTCAGTCTCCGATAACCCGTGTCTGATAGCCGCACTTCGAACGTATGATTCGACTCGCCGGGCCGAGAATGTACGCGAATGATTCTCGTGAAGGCGCGGCCGAGGGCCGTCGGCGAACGAAGGAGAGAAGGAGGGACCGCGCGAGTGTTACCGCGGATTGTTAATCAGAATCTTATCGGGTTGGATTATGCATGTATATATACACACACACGCTCGCGAGCGATAAGGCGCCGAGTGTGTGGAATTCACTCGATCCAGCTCGAGAGTGGGGCGCGGTTCGCAGCGATCTAGATTTCTTCTCCCCCGCCCCTCCGCGCCGGAACTTCACTGGGATTCGGTGCGAGGTCTCAGCTTCGCTCTCGCCGTTATCAGGAGGTTGCTCGGCGGCTCCATCCTCGACTGTTGTTCTTGCTGCGGACAAACAATTGCGACGCTTGTGTTGACGTACTACCGCGGAATCACTGCTATCCATAGTCGGCAAGCATGCGGAAGACAAGGCGAGCGCGAACTAGCGGAGCGCGAAACTCGAAATTGCACATATTACGAGTCCGGCTGCCGTACCGTTATTTGAATGTGTCTCGCTCTCTGCTCGATCGCCCTTTGCAAGGCTGTCCTGGGGTCGTCCTTGTAGCTCTCCTCCCGGTTCCTCTCGGCCTCTCGCCTCGACGCGGCCTCCCTCTGCCTCTCCAGGGCGCGTTGCAGCTCGCTCTTCTGGTTCAAGACGTTTCTGCCACTGCGGAGAAACGAGATGTTCCTTGATTTTAGCGGGAAATTAATTAACGCTCCATTTCTGAACGAAAGTAGGCAGGCGGAGCATTTATTTACATTCTAAAAGGCGAGCTCTCTAAGAACGTCACATAAAATCGTGATGTTAAACAAAGAATACAAATAATAAGAGAAAAAAAAAAATATATATATATATAACAGAAATATTAAATAGAATAAATATTAAATGTTAACAGAAGCATGAAAATAAATATATATATAAATTAAAATAAAAGAAAGAAAGAGAGACGGGGAATTAAAATGAGAAATAAAAATAATAATAAAATAAGAATAATAATAATAAAAGTAAACGGAGAAGAAAGGGGATTCCAAGAGAAACTGTCTGCGGAAAAATAAACGAAGAACGTCTGTCAATCGCGCGCGGTTAAGAATCCAATACAAGTCGAATCGAAAAACATGCGCGCGCGCACACGCGTACACACACATACACATACCGCGGGATTACGTTTTGCCTCGTTCCGTTCGAACGTGTGAATTGGACATTGCGTGTGTGCCAAGGTAAAAGTCGGTAAGCGTGAACCGTTTAATTCCATCGGAGCGTGAAGAATTACAGGTGTCTCGCGGGCGGTACGCGACGGCTGCATGATTAGAGGTGTAACGATGAAAACTACGCGCGCAGGTGTGTGCGCGCGTGCTTAGGATTTTTGCCTCGGTCGACCGTGTCCCGAAAATACCGTACCTTCGTGTAAGCCATATATATATATATACACACATACACACACACACACACACGGTCGTTTTTCACGAGCGATATTTCCTTCGCCGCGATTTATCGATCTACCGTACTCGATTACGCACGGATTCAGCAGCGCGCGCGATAGAAACGTACTACCGCCGGTTATAGCCTCCCGCCAGCCAGCTTTCATCAGGAAGTTTTCCACGCCGATAGCTTAGTAGCTTTCCATTTTCATCGTGGATACACATTATCTCCCGTAGCTCACGATATTAATTAATCCCACATTTAATCCCGGACGAGCGCGGCCAAGCGGAACGGTAATAAAATATTTGCTTTAGGCTGGGAAGAAAAGATGAGGAAGAGGGGAGGGATTTTCCGATGGAAATCTTTCTCTTTCTCTTTCTTTCTCTTTCTCACTCTTTCTCTTCCCGATTGGACGGGACAAGGGAAGCTATCATCCGCTCAAGCGAGGGACGCTCTTCGTCGAAGTGAAGACGCTGAAAAGTTAAGGGGATCACGACGAAGGTCGACTCGTTCATTGGGAGAGTCGGCGTGGCGGACTTACATTTTCTGATTGAAGAGTAACTCCCGATGGAGATCCTTATGATTAGTAGAGGTAAGGCAAGGGTTATACGGTTTCTTCGGCAAAATCAAGCCGTCTGGTCCCATGTGAGGAGCCGGCGGTGGCGGAGGCGGTACGCCCAAGACCGGTGCCATTTTCCTTCCTGAAACGGGAAAAATAGATACACACCGTTTTATTAATAAATAATTCCCTTCTTATTGTCGATTCATCGAGCGACCACCAGCAGCTAATTTCTATCCGTATACTATTGAATAAAATAACATAGAATAAAAATAATAGTAATTCGAGAACTAATATAAAAAAAAAAAAGGAAAATGTTGAACGAAATTCTAACAACGAGCGGCAAGTATTCGCCCTTCAACAAGGCTGCTCTCACCCTGACTGAGAAGACACGATTTTACTAACTTCTTCACTGTCAATCCATCGGGCTCGAGAGCCACTGGCGGCACAGTAATTGGAGGGCTAACAAAAAAAAGAGAAGAAAAAAAAAGAACGAATTCCGGCGACAAATGACAGAAGTATTCACCCTCCAATAAGGCTACCCTCGCCCTGACCGAGCCTCGCTCGCACATCTCGCTCGCTCGCGTATCGCGACTGAGACACTTCCTCGCCGCCGAGACGTATCAAAGAGAGAAGTTCTATATATTTTTTGCATAGGGCTTCGTGTACAGCCGCGCTGTGCGCTAATCGGATCGGGCTACCCGCGGCTCGAAACGATCGTCTTTCCGCTCAAGGTGAAATAAACGATGCGTTTCCGCTGCCAATCGAACGAGGTCGGACGATTCAGAACCCTCTTTCTCGCGTACGATTTGAACCTGTACCTGTGTTATGTGTACGACGGAGAACGGAACGGCGACGAGTCGAGTGAAAGACGGATCGCTTCGATGAAATTGGCATTAATAATACGCGACGTTAACGAGCGGCCCCAATACTAACAGGTATAGAGAATATAAGTAATTAATATAATAAAATATATACGGAAATATAATAATATAATAATAATAATAATAATAATAATAATATAATGAATAAAATGATAAATATATATAATTAATATTAATTATGGGAAGAAGTACATAGGGGGAAAGAGGGGGGAAAATTAATAATAAGGAGAATCGTGTGAATTATTAGCAGGAAACGTTTTGGTCGTTCGCGGCTTCCGTTCCCCTTACGGGAGAACACGCAACGTGTTGCAGATAAAAATCATGACGTGTTGCGAAATCACAGCTTCGCGCGAAAAAAAAAACGTTCGCGCCGCTAAGCTCCCGGAGGAACGTGTCGCACTCAGCAGCAGCAGCGTGACCTCCTCGGCGCGCACTCGGCGTCACTTTGGGCGCTTGTTTCGGCCGAAAATCGGGAAAGTGTACTGTCAACATGTGTCTCCCGTCGCTTATCGACGTTTATTCGCCGTTTATATCATCAATCGATCGTCGTACAACGCGTTCCACGCTCGTTCCGAAAACGTCACCGAGTTGTCAAACTTTCAAATTGAAAGTTCCGAGAGCGAATACTGTAGGCCAGTATTCATAATTCTTTATTATTTTAGATCTCAGAATGCACCGGCCTCATGAATCTTTAATAGATCACTCGACTATTTATTTCATACACGAAATGTAGACCCAACTAGCCGAGTAACAGTCTATGAATACGAATCTGTAATCAATTATACCGCAATCAATTATACTCTCAATCAACGATTGTAATTCACAGTTATGAACACCAGACCGCGGGGAGCGATTAATTGATTGATCTTGATTTCGCGGTTTCTTTACAATTTTTCGCACGCGAGCAGAGATCCGAGACGATAAACGTAAAAGTGATCGACATTTCGGACTTCTCGCAAAACGTTCGTATATTATATAACGTCGGCAATCATTTTTAACATAATAATGATATTTTAGTAACTTAATAATAATAATAGTAATAATAATAATTCTTCATCGAACGCAACAGATAACAAAATCAAGAGCATCAACGTAGCGTCAACTTTGTCGTATTATGGGAAAAATGTGCACTCCGGACCTCGAGCTCGATGAAGCGTTCGATCGCGGCGCGGAACGGGGTCGCGAAAGTAAGCTGGCGTTTCGTTCGCGTGCATCGCGCGCGAGCCGCGTGCGCGATTTAATGGGAACCGAGCGGCCGGCGCCGCCGTCGTCGCCGCCAACAAAACCGAAATGTGTTACACACCGTCACCGTTATTGTTCGAGCCATCGGACACGTCCGAATAGAATGACGACGTCGCTTCGCGAAAACGTGAAAATTATTATACGAATTCCAGCGGATCGGCAAACGGCTCTTGCGAGGAGGAGGTCTCTCATCGGTCGGCACTCGATACGCGACGACCTGACAGCTGCAGCGGCCCCATCGATAACGCGTTCCCTCGTGGGCGACCGGGGGTCCTCTTATCGTCGCGCAGAACGGGGGGGCTGTCGGGTTTTACGAGCGGAAAGTGAATTTCGCGCGGACGTCCGGCCAGGCGAGACGCGACGCCGTTAATTCGCGAACGGCGGCCCGTTTTACGGCCGATGCGGAATGACGGCTCTCACTCTTTCTCGCTCCGGCGAGATCGAGAGGAGGGCGGAGAAAAGGTAGAGAGGAAGGAGCGGAGATGGAAACAGTGGAAAGGTATGCGCTCACGTGCCCGAAATAATAGCAGACAGATCGCGAACGAGATCCGAGAATCGAAAGTGTGCGACCGTTCGCCGCCGATCTCGCGATCGCAAAACGCGATTCGCCGGGACGTTCGCTGCCGGCGTCACGTATGTGCGACGGGCGGGAATTTTAATAAATAGTTCGGCTTAATAAAGAAGTGGGTGTAATGGAAATTATTAATAAGATTTTATAAATATTTAGCAAAAATCTTTCTTTTCCACGTCCACGTTACCAAACGACTTGTCTACTTGCGTACGATTACGTAAAGAAAATGAGACGGTCCGTGGAGGGGAGAGTATTCCAAGTAAACCTTGGTAGCGAACGTGTTAACAACAGCGCCGAACTTTCCTCGGCCCCGTTGAGCGACGACGTGACTCTTCACTTTCGACCTCGACGAAGCGGCGGCGTGTCGAAAGCGCACGCGCGACATCAACGGACGCGCGCACGTGATAAACGCGGAACGAGCAGCGCAATACCGAGACGCTACGCGGAACTGTCACCGTATAATTAGTCTAACGAACATAGCTAGTGTGTAATTGGTCCGATTCTTCGAGCGAACTCGTTCGGCAATCGCGGCGCCGCACTCGGGAGAAATTCGCGCCCGTCTCCAAGTCGTAACGAAGCGAGGAGCGCCGTAATCGCGCTTACGACGTAATTGCTAATTGCTCGTTTACAATTAAAATCTAATTACGAAAGCGCCGGTTTGTATCTCTCTCTCTCTCTCTCTCTCTTTCTCTCTCGTCATATCTCGATAATTACGGCCATCCTTGAATCCCGTTGTGGAAAATCGTCGATCGCTCTCATCGGCTCTCCGCTGCTTCCGATTGTCTCAATATGCAGAGAAAGGTTGCTTTAGACTTTTAGTATACCGTGTCTGTTTGACTTGAGACAAGCAATATTTACTTGAATGCATTATACATATTTTGCTACATATATTAAGCGGACGTGCGAATTAAATTAGAGATGATGTAATAGTCTAATGATTCGCGATGCGGACGCGATATCCTGTGTCCTGGAGCCTCTTCCTCCTTCCTGCTTTCACTGAACTTACCTAACTTTATCAGTCGCTGCGCAATTTATTCGCGCGTTGAACAAAGCTCCATGAGGAGGTGAAACTCCGATCTGAGATCGGAAAAGCGACTGTCGGACGCGGGGGATCGGAGGTACTTCAACGTCTTCAGGGATACTCGTACTTATGTGAACGTTTATACGCGTTCAATTTTCTCATCTAGCTTAAATATTGTCAACGAAGGCACAATGAACATTAGCGGTCATCGAACAAAGCGATCGAGGATGCTTCAACTTTTTTAAGAATACAGACGTCGATTTTTTTTTCAATATGTAATTACCGACAAAGATATAACAAACGTTATCGTGAATATATCGATATTCACCACGAAATTCCACAAGAAAAAAGAAATCTCGATTCATACGATCGACAGATGCCATTTAGTCGTATCACTTTAAGATTAAATCAATTTCTTCTGATTTTAATAAATTCGTCCCTGAAGAGATTAAAAACCACCGACACACACACACACACACACCCACCCACGGAATGCAAAATATAAAATTCCTATTACAAGGTAAACCGCGAAGGAATTTCTTCCTAGAATTTCTTCCTTCTAATTTCTTTCCCCGACGATATCCGTGAAACGTTTCCCCGCAAGGTGCATCGAAGAATTAATAATCTCGCGACGAGGGAGAGATGACAGAGATGGAGAGTGAGATGGAGTGTTTGATAAGACCGCGGATGACGCGGCGAACCTCGAATTAACGAGTCGGAGGAACGCAGGGGCGAGGTGGAGAGGCGAGAGGGAGGAGAACGGAACGCGCGCGTAAGTCGGCCCGGAACGTAATTTTCAGGCAGATGTGCCGCCACCGAAAGGGAGATCATTGCACCGGAGCAAGGAGCAGCTGAAGTAGCGTGAGAAAATGCGGCTTGTGGATCGTCGTTACTGGCGCGCGCCGGGATGATAGTGACCGAAGGGCAAAGTCAGGGCCGTCGCGGTCTCGCCCGGGGGACGGGGATGCATTTTCTTGGCTTCTCGTCCGAGGCGAAAATCCATCGCGAAAGAAAGAGAGAAAAGAACAAATTAAGATAGTCCTTAAGGGGATATCATATATGAAAACTTTAAACGACAGAATACTGTTTTTTTTTCTGCATAGTTTATCTCTTATTGGGGTTGCACAGAATTATATATAAGAATTATATAAATGCTTTTAGTTAGTTCAATATATGACGATTTAAATTTTTCAAAATTGACGTATCCAGCTGTCAGTTAATATAAATATTCGTCTGATATGGAAATCCTGCGGATCTTGTGTATACCGAATATGCCAATCTGGAAGCCATATATGCTCAGGAAAATTTCAAGGAATATTTCGAAACCTTTCCGATAAAATTTCGAGGCCTAAAACGGCCGAGGCCGATCACGAGATATCAGACACGATAGTGGAAGAAAAAAGAAAAAAAAATATATCGAAAACATCGTGTGTAAATTCTCCACGAAGGAGGATCGGCGGGTATTCTGGGACGGATAATTATCGGCAACGACGTGAAACGTGCTGCGATTTTAACGGGATATTACGAGGAACGCGACGAAGTATCAGGTCCGCGCACGCAGGTTCGAGCTCAATAAAAGACGCGATAAGTGCGCGCTCGCTCGATTTACGAGGGGAAACTACCGGCCGCCGGTTGTAAGTTGGAGGAATTGTGAAAAGCGAGCTGAACTCGTAAACTCTACTCGGCGAACGTTCGAAATTCGGCCGCGAACGTTAGAATCCAATTAGCACGTTAATGAGCGATAGAAACGTCGCGGTGTAGTTTAGCGGTCCGCGCGCTCGCTCTTTCGCGGCCTGTCTAATTTGTGTGCGCCGGTGGCAGAAAGAAATTCATTCCGGAGATACCGATCTCGCGCATCTCGGGAACCCGCCGCGTACGATCCTGAGCTACTTCATTGACGTCCCTTCCACGCGCGGGGAGATTTCGTCAATGAAACTAAAGCCGCTGCCGAGAGAGCGCATCGAATGAATCTAATGATTCACTTGTCATCGTGTCTCCTTACGAAGGAACGAGCGGAGAGGAGAAAGGGGTATAGAGGGCGAAGAGAAAAGAAGACGGGAGAGGGAGAGGGAAACAGAGAAAGAGAGAGAGAGAGAGATGGAAGGAAGGAATGTCACGTCGTGACTCACCGTTTGTCAAAGCGTCGCCGTCGCCCAAGTCGCACTTCAGACCGTTAGTGATCACCTGAAACACGCGGGGGCATCGATTAACGAAGATCATTTCGAGCAATCGCAGCCGATGGTGCGCGAAAGATCGCGACACTTTCAATTTCGGAAAACACATCCGATATCCAGCGGATAGATTTACGGAAAAACTCGCCAATTAACAATAACAGGAAACCCGAAGACATTTAACGAATTAGAAAGTAACGCGGAGCTTTCACCATAAACAGAAATTAAACTCAAACAATGAGATGAATAAGCACGACAGAAATTGAGTAACAATAAACACAATGTAAAAAAATAACGCAATATAAGAAAAAAAAAAAGAGAAAAAAAAAAGCGCAGAATGAAAACGATCGCGCTGATCTCATCCGACGAGAGTCATTAAATGGAAAAGCGTTGCGGCATTTTCGCGCCGTCGACTACGCGTACGTTGCAGCTGCGCGCGACGGTATCTTCCAGCGGCGATTTCGACAGAGCGCCGCGCGCGATAGAAAGTCTCTCCTCGCGCCGTTGAAATTATTCTCGTAACTGTAGACGCATAATTTGTATTACGCACACACACACACACACACACTCGATGCCGCGTATGCGAATGATAATCGTTCGATTCCCGACATCCGGAACGCCTGTCCCACGCACCGCGTTCTTCTCCTCGTCGCGCGCGACCGACAAAACGCTCGCCGGTTTCGCATCTGCTTCTCGCGGCCGTAGGCGAGAATCGAAAGTCGCAGTCGTTCTCGCGAGTTGCCGTTATGGCTTCCCGTCGTCATCGTCATCGATGATTTCACTGAGATATCACTCTTACTACTCGCCCGTACTACACGCCGCGAATACTCGCGAGTCTGTAAACGACTCGTAATCTGCCGTCCGGCTACTTTTGCGAAACGCCGCGTTTCCACGTAGCTCGTGTAAAATCGGATAAAGCAGCCGTCGCTTCCGCTTGCTATCTGAAAGATGATGACTGGTAATTGCCGCGGTTTTCCATCCGGCCTGAAGACCATATCATGCAACAAGAGCTGTACGATGACCGCCGCCGCCCGGGAGGACGCATAAACGCGATGATGACGAAAATCAAGCATTACGCATGGGAACGTACGTTAATCGCGCGAGATCACCTATCAAGCGCGTATGCGCTAATGATATAAAATTAGCCGCTCGGCCACGATGTAACGTGAGACACGAACCTGAGAAAGCCGCTTCAGTCCCTAAACGCGCAATTTACTTCCGTTACATTACGAGGAGTGTACCTTTCGAGTTTAACGTACGTTTCGTAACGCAACGGAATAATGAGGAAAATATCTCTCTCTCTCTCTCTCTCTCTCTCTCGATATTTATCTCTTACTGACTGACAAATCGCAAACTCACGAACATTTGTCCGAATATCGAAATTGAGTGATCGATTTTAACAGGAAAAAAGCTGCAAGTTTCATATCTTCGAAACTTTAACCCTCCAATGGCAACGTGGGAATTCGAAGGTACAGTCGATTTTTTTATTGTGAATTTTAGGATAATTGGTAGAAACGACGGAGTTCGGTATTTCATCCTAAAAAAAGTTAAGGTTACTGAGATTGTGTGTACATAAATACGCCAGCATCCAGCTGTTCGTTTCTTAATAAAGACATTTAATTGAAAAGACACTTAAATGAAACTTCATTTTCTCTATCATAAAAATCTTTATTTTCAGATGTGAAAAACTTGCGCCGGCCTTTGGAGCCCCATATTGTTGGCAGAAAGTGCCAAATTACACTTTGCCGGCGGAAGGTTAAATCTTACATTTTCGAAACTTTCATATTTTCGAAGCTCCCAGCTTCTTGTATTGTGAAGCTTTAAGTTTTGTGACCTCAAAGCTTCACGGTTTCAAGGCTTCGAATCGGGGCACCTGTTGCGGCGAAATTTATACGTAGCCGAAAAGTCGCGTGATGAATCCCACAGCAGGATCGTTTTCGCATAACTGGTTATGAAAATACGCCGATTACACAACCGGAAAATAAACGCCCCTGGCCGTATCGCATAAATTCCGAAATGTGTGTACACACACCGCGCATTCTGTCGCGTGAATGATAAACCTTTACGTCTCGATATACGATTTATGAGCGCACGTGCCGCATTGTGTGTCGAAGTCGATGTTGAAGCCTCGTGTACTTTTATCGCGAGCACTTCCGTCCTCGATTTCGGCCGCCGACGAGCGTTTCTTCGCGCGACGCAAAGCGTCGCCCGAGAAAATCAAGTCGTATCGAACGACACGATAAATTCTATCAAGCGCGGAAACTAGCATCGCGGCTCGTTCAATCAGATGCATTCTAAGCAATCTCGGCGTGAAAACGCGAAAAACACGATTCGTGAAAAGGACGCTGTGTCGACGGCGGTGTCCGGGACTACGTTACGAGCGGCTTCGTAAACCATTCTCCTTTGTCGCCATTCATATGCAAAGCTGAAAAGGAACGATGCATGCAGGTGCACTCACGTAACGAGATTATAAAAGAGAGCGCACGTGTCGCGTTTGCGCCACCTTACTGCACCTCGAGGGAACGGCATGAATATCCTCCTCACGCTATGCTTCCTCCGCTTCAATCGCCGCGGATTTAAATCGGATCTTATTGCGCCCGCCGATCATTTCCCCCGGAAAATAATTCCCGATCTTCGAAGGCGAACGGACAAAATGCGATTGTTCATAAAAAATACTTAGGAGATAATAATTCAAGATGAATCTCGATGTGAAGACTCTTAAGTGTCAAATCAAGTGATGCATTTTATGACAATAAAAGAGAAGAGAAATAAAGAGGACAAAAAAAGAAATATAAGAAAATATAAAGAAAGTAATTAATAAATGCAAATTGGTGGCGATGACCGCAATTTTATGAATATATACATTTCTACGCAGAAAGGAATGCTATTTACATTCAAGTAAATATTTGCTAAGAAATATTGGAGTGATCGTTTTATTAGAATTAAGTTAATAATACTTGAGTGTTTGCACTTTTTTTTCATTGTGCTACATTCAAGTAAAACTTACTTTTAATGTGAGTAAAATAATTACCCCAATACTTCTTAGCAACCTTGGTGGAAATTTCATGTATTTTTTGAGCAATTACTGAACAATTATGTTAACTTCTATCTAATAATTGAGGAGTAAAATTATCTGGGATCCCAATCAAGATGTAACATTTTTCCTGCAGTTACACAAAAGGTATGCAAATTCTTAACCCATTTACTGAACGAAAACAAAACAATAAATGGGTGAAAAAAATCTTCAACTAATTAATACCAGAAAACTACTTCAGCCACTGAATAGAACTTTATCAAGTTCCACTTCCTACGCAGTATTGTTGCAACTAATGAGAGTGCATTAATATTAAACAGTAACTGGATGAGTGTCTAAGAAAAGTACACGCATTTCTATCAAATAAATATTTACCTGAATATAGCACTTTTTATTTTCAGTATATGAATGCAGTAAGCAATACAATATAGATGCAATAAACCTATAAAAAATGTAGGCTAAAGAATAAATCTAAACTTGAATAGAAAGAATAAATCTAAACCACGATAAATAAATAAATTTTAATAGGCCGATGTAATTCGGGTTGATCGTTGTAATTACTTCTTTTGCTGGCAATAAATTAATTACTTTTTATTTGCCGGCATTAAATTTATATTGCAGGCAATAAATTAATTATTCCTCCTGACCCTCATCTTTCGTTATTTTATTACTTTATCGAGGAAACTCTGAATTATGTTGAATATATTGAACGAAATCGGTCGTACTTTTTTTCGGACATTCTTTTAATATTAATATTAATGTTATCCCCCCCCCCCCTTTTCTTCCCCTTTATGCTGTTATGTTATTAGCGGATTTTCAATGCTGCGCGAAAGTAGCATCGTCAGGTGGCGGACCATTTCTTGGGAGAAATATCCGTCGACGACGTGATGAGACTCGGGGGACGATCATCTTAGCATTGCAAATCGACGTTTCTCCGGTCGCGAAACGAAACCACCGAGCTACCGTATATAGACCGTAAGAGCGATCCCGCGAATGTACAGCTCGCGTGCAGCTCGGCATTGTGCGGTGCGGTGGTCGTGCTAATTCGTAAACCCTCCCCGCACGTGTCGAAGTGTATACGCGTTCAAAAAGTGCGACTGACCGCAGAATAAAAGAGAAAGGAAGAGAGAGAGAGAGAGAGAGAAACGTTGCGGAGCGTGCGTTCTCGCTCCGCGAGGGTCGCGTGTTTACGTACACACGTACCGCACGTCGGCGGTAAACGAGTTACGTACGGGACATTCACAGGGTGCCGAAGGGGACGACATACGCGGTGGGTCCCCCGGAAGGAAATGGAAAGTATTAATATTCTCGCACGACAACGAGGGGGGAAAAGGCGCGCCGACAATTGCCGGCGGTGGTTACTTAATCTACTCGCATTTATGCGCGGCACCGCCGCGCCGGGGGAAACGCGAAGGCCAGATGGCCGAATCGTCCGTGGGGGGTCGTCGATTCCGATTCGGGGCGCGGCGGCAGAGCCCATTAAAAATAATCCCGTGAGTGCAGTTTTCAGCGACGAGCGTGTCACGAGTACACGTGGTCAGCCTCGGGCGTAGCGCACGCGCGCGTTCGCACGACACACCTGAAGGCCTGACTGGGTCAATCGGCGGTAAGTTCGCCCCGATCGCGATTTTTTTCCCCGTCGAATCTGACCCCGTTACATTCGATGAGAATAGATCATACACGTCAAGGTTGCCGTCCGTCAATTGCCGGATTTTTAATGGCGATATCATCAAGGGGCTTTTACATGAGTTTGTCATTTATTGGAGAAATATTTTCCGGCGACCTCAGCTGGAACATGTCCTTAACCCTTGACATTTTGGTTGTTCCGTTCTTTAAACTAGAATATTTAAACTTTCAATGTAAAATAAAAACTTTCCTTGTATCTCGAAACTTCGGTCACACTATTTAATGACTTCTATATGTTTGTGCGTTTTGTAAAAGAAATGATTACTTTATTTATCAATGTAACAAATACAAAG